ATAGATGGTACTTTCGGCAAAAGAAACGGGAGACTTGAATGGCCATTCCTGACTTACTGACCGTTGTTAGCCAGTTATACCCAGCCCCAAGCGGTGCATCACCCGAGCCTTGAACTCGCGACCTTTTGATTAGAGTCTAACACACTAACCATCGAGCCACGAGCTCGCTCATATTCCATTTTAGATCGGGAGATATTGACACGCATTGACTAACGTTCACCGACCGCTAACAGAACTCACGTGTCCCTATCTGCCTATACTTCTAGCTGCTACGGCTGCTGTCAGGGCCCGAGGCAGGGGTAGCCCCTATTTGTACATTTTCCGATGGCCATATATTCTGCGTATCGTCGTGCCTATATGTTTCAATCTTTCAAGCTCAGACAAAATACCTTCTTTGTGGAGGTTTTTGAGAATTGTCGTCTACCAACTCTCAGCGGCCTCTGGCCGATTAATCTGATTTATATTCGATCTTCGGACCTATCGATCGATTGACCAAGGAGACTAGTTTATATAAAATAAAATTAGTCCTACTTTCAGTTTGCTTGCAGTTATTATTTGTCAGAAGACTTCCTTTTTGTGAATAACCCACAGCGTCAGAGGTATTCACCTCGGTTCAAAAAAGGAAACCCGTGAAATCCTTTGAATATAGGCAAACTCGTTAGATTCTTCTCTTCAGAATTTTTATAGACAAACAGGTAATGTTTCGATACTTTCTGTGGCCAGTTGAAAACAAGTGCCTGTCTCTTAGAGCGCTCGAGGCGATCGATGACGGACTTTAGGAAGGCGGAAACTCTTGCAGCTAAAAAGGATTACCTACGACACAGACGTGAACAACCAACACGCAGCATTGAGTTTGAATGCTCTGCTTCCTGAACTATCACAGGCATACATAGCATCTCTGTGAACCAATCAATAATATTTTCACAGTGGCTCGCGAAATTGTCTATTTAAGGCTGGATAGCGTTCATGATGAGGCCGCCGACAAAGCTCCCATACGGCAGAACTTGGTAGTTGAAACTATCGCCCAGCATAGTCCAGAGTCTAGCAATGCAGACCCGCCTTCTGGAAAAGCCAAATATCCTGACAAAAACGTATTGATAGGCTACATGTTTGAATATTGTGGTATTAAAAAAATCCGCTTAAGACAGAACCTCTGGACTTTTTCGAGGAGAGCAGTAAATCAACTACACACTATGAAAGTCTCCACGAAAACAATAACAGCTTGATCATCGAAGACCAGTTGTGAAACCCAGTCTTGGTCATTTGTTTCGGAATCTGCTGCTCCGTGTTTTGCCAAAATCAGAGGTGATTTAGAAATAAAAACAACGGTGCCATCTGTGGCCTAAGCAAAATGCAACTAATCCCTTTGACAGTGGCAAAAATAGGGACCTGATAGAAACGCTTATTTTAAATACCAGCAGATCTCAAAATAAATGTGAGATATTTAGCTACTGCCATAAGGCAAAAGCATGAATTGTTCAATTGAAATGTTTTATCATACTCCATCTCGTTTAAACATGGCGCAATTTTAAAAATATCTGCGATGGCTGAATATGGTATGTACATTGATTTTACGGTGAAAAGAGTCCAAGTTTAATGAAGGGCAAAGGGCTCATATCATTTCTTCTTGGCTGTCTTCGTGTCCTTCTTGGCCGTCTTCGTGTCCTTCTTAGCCGTCTTCGTGTCCTTCTTGGCCGTCGTTGTGTCCTTCTTTGCCGTCGTCGTGTCCTTCTTGGCCGTCGTCGTGTCCTCCTTGGCCGTCTTTGTGTCCTTCTTGGCCGCCGTCGTGTCCTTCTTGGCCGTTTTCGTGTCCTCCTTGGCCGTCTTTGTGTCCTTCTTGGCCGCCGTCGTGTCCTT